TCTGTCAGACGGCATCAAGACTTTAAAGCCGCGTTGAAACGACAAGTGTAACTGTAGCACAAATGCAATGCATGGCGCGCTGCCATGTAAACTCCATGTGGCAGAGACGTGGGGACGAGACACAAGACACTGAGCATCAAAGAGTGTACTGTCTTTGCTGAGAGAAAAAAGATCTGAAAGACGTGTGAGTCAGAGCTCAGTTTCTAAGATGTTTTGAGGAATTAATATTGAAGGGAAAGTGAAAAGGGGCTCCTATGCAAACTGAGAAAAAGCCCACTTTCATATGTGAAATGTCACTTAGTTTTCCTATTAAATGGATACTTATGTTTAAATGTATATTTTGTGAGCTCTATTTATTTAAAAAAAAATAAATTTTAATCAACACTGAACTCATCAAAACAGGTGAAAAATCAGAGCACTTTTTATTTTATTCATTCTATCGATGTAAAGATGTTCTGTGTGTGATTCATGTGTGTAGGGTCGGTGGTTGAGGTGTTCTGACTCAAAATGAGTTCAGCAGACTAGAAAGCGTCCACCCAGAATGAGTCAGTATCACAACAGTAAAGCAGAGAGACAGCTTTTACTCTGTTTAAACATTTAACTCCTAACAAGGTTTTACCAACATTTAGGCATTTATAAAATATCCTCTTCAAAATTAGAACAGAGATGTAACTCATACTCCCAACCACATGCTCAATATTTAACTACAACTGTACAATATTAAATACGTGTTTTTCAATTGGACAAATCCATCTACAGTTTTTATTTCTTCAGCAGTAATCAGTGTGTAGTTGCTGCCATGTTGAGGCAGAGGGTACTTCTTTGTAGCTGTGGCTGAGGGTGAGAGGCTGTCAGCAGATAAACAGATCTGTGTGGGTACATGAGACCCTAAAAAAGAGGCTGGATCATGGGGAGTACCACCAGTTGGTCCAGGAGCTTCTCCTCCATCATGGACGTTTACAGGCAGATTTTAGGATGACTCAGGGGCAGTTTGACAACCTGCTGTCTCTAACTCTGGATATCCAGCAACCGATACCACCAGTGTCAAGAACGTGGCACCACTGGGACTCAAATGCACACTCTGGAGACGGTAGTGAGGTTTAACAAAAAATCTTTACTTGAAAACACACAAAACAAAAACACTCTCAATGGAGGAAAAAGGTACTAACAAAAAACGCTCTCTTGGAGGATCGAACAATTGTACTAAGGCTTGCAAACAAAACAAAGATGTGAAACAAAAACCAGGTAACATGAATGGATGGCTTGGACACTAGACAGTACTCTCCTGATCAACAAGACAAGACGAACTGACACAAGACAAAGGGAGACAAGGACTATTTATACATGAGGTGGGAGGAACACAGGTGAGACCAATCAGGGAGCGTTGCCAGGTGTACGATAATTATCGTATTTGTACGATAATTTGGCCCTCTGTACGACGTACGATCAATAATCCCAAAAAAGGCCAAATGTATGATAATTTGACCATTTCATGAATGTGTGGTTGTAATCAGTATGCCGGAGTTTTTTTGTGGGCCCTGAAGGCATCTGTTCCCATGTGACATGTTTCCAGCCAATCGCACTGTGCTTAGTGTGAGATACGGGTAGCCTCGCATCACCAGGCTCTTCAAGTATGGCGAAAAGCCTGGTTTCCATTCACTCTGAATTTTGTCTGGATCTGGTTCCGGTCTAGAGAGTGGATCTGGAATTCACCAAATTCGCCAAAGTACGAGTGTTCACCAAAGTAAAACTTTAAATTCTGGCGCACCATCGATTTCCATCTCCAGTTTACTACCATATTGTTGTTGTTGTGGTTGTTGTTGTTGTTGTGGTTGATAGAGCATGCTACATGGCGAGCATCACGCAGTTTTCCTCTCTCTTCCGCCCCCACTGCCCCAGACTTTAGTGAAAAAATGCATTTACAAACTACAGGTAAAATGTACAAAACTAAGATCAAGTGCCTGTTAAATAAAACAGACAACTGAAATAGACAATAATTTGTAATACAATTAAATACAATGAAAGAAAAAGGTTAACTTTCTTGTAAATTCTTTAAATTAAAAAGTTTCACCGCATTTTTATTAGCTTGGTGCTTTTATTTTGACGGAAAGGCGCACCCATCGAATTCCGGATCCTGTCTCTCTCGCCCTGGTTCCAGTTGCTTACCAAAATGGCCACTAAACGCCCCAGACTAGATACGGGTGACGTTTGTCTCTGAACAATGAGCACGATTGGCTGAATGGTCAGCTGTACCCGCCCCACGAGGCGCTAGGACCATTGTTTACCAACTGTTAACTTGTTGTCGTGACCACCACAGAAGGCCCGCCTCTCAAATCATCTGATTGGACAATGGGATAAAAGATGATGAAAAAATAAGATGACGTGAGGTTTTTCAACTCAAGGAGTTCAGAGTGCTCTGCGAAAAAGGCCAGGCGCCTAGAGCGCAGAAATGCAAGGCATGCAGCAAAAAGTGCGAGCAAAAAGCTTCAGTCTCATTTTAAACAATTACAAAAAGCTACGTCAAGCTGCTAAAACGCTTTCTGTGTGATCAGGGCCACACTCTGCTGTCAATCATGTCAAACGCTCCATGAACTGTGATTAAACTTTCAAACTAGACAGCGCTGATCGAATATGAGTCGAGTCTGTCACTGTGTTGCCTATTTCTCACCTCAAATGTTCTCAGTATCATATTTTAGCGTACAGTTTAGCTGTAAAATGAGAAGGTTGGTCGAGCCAGTGGGCGGTGCTTGGTACTTTCCAACATGGTGGCTGAGTCACAAACCTTGTTTTTGTTGTTGTTGTTGTTGTATGTGCGGCAGTCGATCCTAGCCAAGTATGTCTGTCTCATGTACTTCCTTCAGAACATTGTGACAGTTTCATTAAATATGACACCAAGGAATTTTTTTTTTCTGTGTCGACAATATTAGCGACGCAACAACTGGGTGTTGGTCATTTTCACTGGAAAGTGGTGACATGAAGCAACAAACTGACGCATGGCACTGTTGACATGCTACAAACAAAGGTTGAGACTAGACACACCCTCCACACACACATACACACACACACACACAAAGCACACAAAGCACTCACAGAGAATATGGGGGGAAAAAACAGGAACTGAGGAAGTGCTATCATAGGTGGGGAAACACCAGAGCTAGGTTAAAAACTCAAAAGAGAGAACAATTTTAACAAAATAGAGGAACATGCCAGCTAGAAAAAAAAGAATTAACATAAACAAATACATAGAGAAATACACAAAAATAATAGATACAAAATAAAAAAGACATAAAGTTCAATTTAAAGCCAGACTGATAAGGTAACAGTGGGGATGATTGAAAGGCCACTATAAGATAAGACAAGACAAGACAAGACAAGACAAGACAAGACAAGACAAGACAAGACAAGATAAGGTAAGATAAGATAAGATAAGATAAGATAAGATAAGATAAGGTGAGGTGAGGTGAGATGAGAGACGAGATAAGATAAGATGAGATAAGATCAGATGAGATGAGAAAAGATGAAAGGAGAGATGGGATAAGACGAGATGAGACAAGATGAGATGAGGTGAGATAAGATAAGATAAGACGAGATAAGACAAGGTAGGGTAAGATAAGATAAGGTAAGATGAGATGAGATGAGGTGAGGTGAGGTGAGGTGAGGTGAGGTGAGAGATGAGAGACGAGATAAGACAAGATAAGATAAGATAAGACGAGATGAGACGAGAGACGAGACAAGACGAGATAAGATGAGATGAGAGGAGACGAGACGAGATAAGACGAGACAAGACGAGATAAGAGATAAGATAAGATAATGTTGCAGCTGCTCTAGGTGGAGCTAATTTTACCTACTTTATATCCTGTGTCTGTAGTTTATTAATCTGCATTAATATAAGACAAATAGCAGTGAAGTAAGTGCCTACATTCAAAATATTCAAGCAAAGTACAACTACCTCAAAACTGTACTCTATACAGTTTAATTCTATTCTATTAGTTTTTTTTCACCACTGAAAATATGCTTAATTTACTTTATCTCCATCTTGCAGATCATTAACTTATATTTTATCTTTTTTTTTTTTTTACTAAATTTACTCTCGTCAGTCTAATCTACTGTAAATCACTCATGCTCTGAAAAGGAACAAATTTTGAATTCAAAATTACACATTTTCCTCATGTAGCAATGTGAAACTGTTCCCACTCAAAAGAAGTGGGTGAACCACACACCAAGACATCAGCGGATCACCCACGGACGACACATGCATTACACCCACCTCTGACTTATAGCTGCGAGGTGAGACCAGTTCTTTGGGGCGTTCAAAGTCACTTGTAGGAAAATGGAAAGCATCTGAAGTAGCAGTTAAAGTAAGCCAGTTTAAGGGGAAGTAGCTGTAATCATATAAATGTGGTTATTTCTATTGTTTCAGAATGTAAACAATTATCTTAATCATGATATCTGACAGATGGAGGTTTCAGCCACATGTGGCAGAGCTAAAGGAAATGTGCTGTTATCTCAAAGCATGAGGTTCATCAACCACTGATACTTGTTTTGAGGCAGATCTTGAGCAGCCACATCATGAAACCAAAATATGTATCCTCTGTGACACCAGAGATCCAAACTGGTTTGATTTATGGCTTTTAAACAGGAAATGTGAAATGGATGTCTGTTACAAGAGGGGCCCTGATTCACCAGAGCATCAGATGTACTTAACTTTTATTGAGCCTTTGTCATTTCTGTTATCGGATAATTTTAAGTGTTTCTGTGTTTATATACGTCGGTACGTTCTGACTTTCTACAGCAGCTCCAAAATAATTCAAGTCTTCAAATCAACATTTGCAAACCAAACCAAAGAGCTGACTGTGCATGAAGGTCAACATGACATTAAGTGTCAGAGTGGACAGAAAGGGGAAACTGAGATCATCACAGAGGAAACTCCCACAGAGTTCTCGACAATCTTCATGAGGACTCAGCTGACAAGAAGGAAGCAACACTGAGAGACAGACAGACCGACCAAAGGAGTCTTTATCATGTCAGGTAGGAGGCAGATTTACTGGATATGAAAGAAAGTCTTGCAGGGAAAGTTATGTCACACTGATTCTCACATGAATCAGTGTGTCGTTTCAAAGCTTGAACTCGTCTGAATCTGTAAATATCACCAAACAAGAAGAGTTTATGTGTAAGTTCAGCTCTAATTCCACAGATATGATCATCTGAAAGGAGTAAGTCAAAGGCAACTAGACTTTGTTAGATGTAATGATTAAATGTGTTGATGACAGGTTACATGTTGACATCCTGTGACTCAGACCTGACTTAAATTACAGTGAATTTTCATCAGACAAGAGTTTTGTAACTCTGTAAACGTAGCAATAATAACTGTGTTGCATTAAAAAGCTGATCATATCACCCAGACACCAAAATCAGTGTACAATTATATCATTTTATGATAACAGGACTTCTCAGGTGCTTTACTGTCACTTTCCATCATGTGCAGGTTTTCCACGCATCTGCTCGTATTTGGGTTAATCTCAGTTTGCCTTTGAGTTCACCCGTCTGATATTTTTCATGTGAGCGTCACTGTGAGACGTGTCGTCGTGCTCGGCTGTGTGGCCACATCACCATATTATTTGGTTTCAAAGTCAGTGTTGGATTCCCACATTCACCTGAAGGGGCTGTCCCCACAAACCTGCTACTTTAAACAGCAGCTACAGAGGAAGAAGATGAGTCTGTTATGAGCGACCCTTAAAATCCCCCCTCTGGTTTATCGTTGTTTCCCTGCGCTGAAATTCTCACAGCTCTCCTTTATTCTCTGTGGGCTGTCTGTTGATGTTATTTCTCGTTTCTTTGACTGCATATTTCCTGTTTTATTTGAAGATACTCTAACTTTAAAAGGCTACAATGGTGTGCCGTAGGATTTAGTGATAACCACACATTTTATTATTGCAATATTCAACTGGGAGTATACATAAAAGCTATAAATGAATTTCTAACTGTCTGTATCAGTATGTTGTGTGCACCCATGTTCTTGGACAGAGGCAAACTCTAGCTAGAAGATTTAATTTAATTTAATTTAATTTAATATGGGGCGTCGGTGGTTTAGTGGATAGAGCAGGTGCCCCACGTACAAGGCTGTTTGCCACAGCGTCCCGGGTTCGACTCCAGCCTGTGGCCCTTTGCTGCATGTCATTACCCCCCTCTCTCTCCCCTTTCATGCTTAGCTGTCCTATCTATAAAGGAAATAATGCCCAAATAAATATTGTTAAAAAAAAAATATATCTAATCTAATCTAATTTAATTTAATTTAATTTAATTTAATTCAATTTAATTCAAATACACTTCACGTGGACCCTATTTGTTCCTGTTTGTTCACGTGTGGGAATTATTAGTGTGTGACACATCAGAGAAAAAAAAAAGTCCCAAAAAAGCACATGTTAAAGAAGCGATTGTGTGCAGATATAAATACAGGTGTGCCTTAAGATTTTGGCCCTTTGGTGTGACTTGGGCACGAAAAGTTTGAAAACCACTACCTTAAACTACTCAGACGCCATGTTCTGTCTGTAGTCATCATCAACTACGTTCGAAAAAAGAAGAGGTTTTGTTATTTGTTTCTCTCAACCTTTCCTGTCACTCTGAACTTGTACAGTTAAATAAAGGCTGAATAAATAAACAAATAAATATCACATTATATTTGTATGTACCTGAATTATTTTTCTTGTATGCTCTTTGTGCATATATATGTATAGCATATCTTTATATATCGTACAACTTCAATTAAAAGCCTAGTCCCAGTTAAACACCCAGTCCCTTTTACCAGCCCAGTGTGGCTACAGATTTACCTCAAATTATGTGACTCAGCTACCCTGTAAGTTATTCATATTCCTTTAGTCCTTAAGGGTCCTCAGATCAAAAGAATTAAAGGGGTTTTTCATAAGAATGAACCCAACTTGTGAGGATTGTTTTAACAGGATAAAGTGGTGTTGTGTTGGTATGCTGAGTGCCGTAACTCATCCTCTTTCTGATGCGCTGTCAGTCAGAGCGAGATCAGATGAATGATTCATAACTGATAGATTGTCTGAAGTCTGATTTTACACGTAATATTCATACTGGTTTAAATAAGCAATATGATTGTATTTCCTGATCTTTGCTGAGCAACAGTTTTGTGTTAAAGGTATTAAAGGCCCGTCCCAAATATAAGCCTGCTGAGCCCGGGCAGATATTAGCCCGGGCTACTAATTTACAGTATTCATGTATTTAAAACTGTTTTTAACACCTTTTTTACCACTCTCTTTTATTTATTTATTTAGTTAGTTAGTTAGTTATTGATTTGTTATTGGTCGTGTTTTCATCATTACTTTATTCTGCTTCTTGTATCTGCTTTTATTGTCTTGTAAAGCACCTCATAACATCTGTTTCTAAAAGTGCAATATAAATTAAAAAAAAAATTATTATTAATTATTACTATTTATTTTAAAATGACAGTAATTGTTTAATTTATTAGAGATATAATAATAAAAATAATAATAACAATAATTATTAGTAGTAGTAGTAGTAGTATATTATTTATTATGGTTTTTAGAAGCTGATAAATGATGAATTTTTTGTTAATTTCATGGTGCAGAATGGATTATTGTCCAGAAATGACAATGTTGTGTTAAATAAGCGTGGACACAGATACTCAAATTTACAAGAAAAAGCAAATTTAACAAAACAAATTAATAAACAATGAAATTACAACAATAAACAAATAAAAAATATCAACCCTAGATTTGCAAATCTCTCCAGAGCTACTTTGAAAATGTTTTGTTTTGCAAGTTTTTATGTGTCACTACACTTTGGCTCAGGTTTGGTTAGGTTTCAACACAAACAGCACTTTGCTAGAGGTTGGCAAAGATCATGGTTTGGGTTCAAATTATTTCTTGAATCATGGAAACTTAAATCACACCAGAGTTTGCCTGAATCTGAGGTTACCATCTAGACACAACCCAACTTAATGGAAACAGAATTTGCATCATAGTGGTGAAAAACTGGATTTTATTAAAGGGATTATATCCATTTGGCACAAAACATTTAATTCTAAAATGTGCATAAAATAGGCGCAAAACTGAAATCAATTACACTGCACTATGTCATGTTGGATCAGCATTCTATTAACGACCTTTTGCAGCTCACTTCCGTTATATTGAGATTCACTTCTGTCCCAAAAACTTTAAAAAACAGCCTTTTCTTAGAAGTTTTAAGCAGAAGTTTTCTCTAGAGCGTGATCTGTGCCAGGCTGCGTATATTAAAGCAGAGTAGTAAAGCCACTCGTCTGTGTCACCAGCATTTGGTATTTATTTATTGATGTGTTTGGTCCCCAGTGACAGCGTGTGTGTGTGTGTGTTTGTGTGTGTGTCTTTCTCTCAGGGCCTGTGACATGTGAGACAGAGAGATAAGAGGCAAGCGGATGTGAGGTGACATCCCACAACAAGCAGACACTCAAAGAGGAAGTGAGTGCTGGGTCCTGTGGTCATGACTCATTTCTTCACTATTTCTAGTAAATGAACATATTTCCCCCCCCCCCCCCCCCCCCCCCCCCCCCCCCCCCCCCCCCCCTCCCCGCTGTCTGTTTATGCACAGCTGTTCGCCTCGTGTGCGATCATCTGAATGATGTTAACACTCAGTAAATTTTACAGAGACCAGCTCAGAGAAAAAGGCGCACCTGGCCCCATGTGTCACCAGGAATGATGCCTCTCTTCTGGGTTGTGCTTTGGTCAACGTTTCCTCCTCTGGTTCTCCTCTGTGGTCAAGATTGTTGTCGCGTCCATGAGAGCAGCAGCTCACAGAGCGGTGAGTCTCCACAGTCATGTTAATGTTTTAGTATTAAATCCTTGAAAATTGTCTGTTTGAATATTTCAGATTATAAATTGAATCATTGCTGAGCTGATTCTGTACATTTTGGGATGTTTTTCCATACTATCTCTGTGACACATCATATTTATATAAAGACGTACAATCACTAATGGAAGGTATTTAAGTGCATTTACTTTAGTATTACTATTTTCTGCTACTTTATACTTCTATCCACCACAATTCAGAGAGAAACCTGTACTTTTTGACTCATTAATCCAACTGACTGTTTCCAGTTAATTTGCTTGTTTTGCAAATGATAATAATTTCCCATACAAAACATGTTGTCAGTCTTTGAAATGGGATCGACTGTTCAGTGAAAAAACAGTTTAAGACATCCCAGACTAGATAGATAGATCCTTTATTGTCATTGTATGTTACACTTTGTTGGAGCAATCCAGTTGGCAGCATATAAATGTTTGCACATGCACCAACACACACTCGCTCATCGCATAATTCCACTTATTTCCAAGTCCGTTATGGCACCTTGGGTGGGTGAGGTGGAGGGTGGGTGTCACAAAGGCTTGATGGGGGAAGCCGATGATCCTCTCAGCCGTCTTGACAACCCACTCCAGGTATTTCTTTTCAGCCGCAGTGCAGGTGGCGTAGCACACAGTACAGCAGCATGTTATTATGCTCTCAATTGTACAGCGGTAAAAGTGGATCTGAAGTTCCTGAGGAATCCTGTCACATTTCAGGGTCCTCAGAAAGAACATTCTTTGCTGCTGCTCTTTTGATGATGTGGGAGGTGTTCAGACTCCAGCTATGTGCACCCCCAGGAACTTAAAGCTTGCAACTGTCCCTACCTCTTCCCCGTTAATGTACAGTCCACTGTGATGAGTTTATAATTCAGTTTTATATTTTTATGGAGAGTGAAAAAAAAAATTTGTTGTAGCAATACTTGAGTCTCATTTCATTGCAACTTGTGTCTCAAGAATGAGATGTTTCAAAACACTCTTAGGTTTCAGTATTCTTATTGCACAAAGGTTTTTAAGACAGAGATATCCTCATAAGATTGAAGTCGTTAAAGGAAATGGCCACTTTAGAATGAAAATACAGACAGTACTTAATCACCCTCATGCCAACAAGAAGTCCAGTGTAGTGTTTTTAATGCACAAAACTCATTCGGGGTATTGGAGGATAACAGCCAGCCGGATTTTTCCATACACTTGAAGAGCATGGAACCCGCATTTTGAAAATGTAATAAAACTCCGCTAATGCATTTCAAAAACATCAGAATGGCTCGTTCGTCGTAATCAAAGTGCCCTGAAGTGGCATGCAAAATTGACTTGAAAAGACGTAATTTACCCCACTTTTATAGCATCATTTCTCACCGTGGTCAGTTAGCATGCCCTGCAGGCGTGCTGTGTTTACACAAAAAGGTCAATTATGGTGTACCACAAGGGTCTGTGCTTGGTCCCATTCTCTTTACTATTTACATGCTACCCCTCAGTTCATTAATCAATAAATACAAATTAGGTTCCCACTTTTACGCAGATGATACTCAGCTCTACATATCCACCAAGCTTGACACCTCTCATCAACTGATCCATCTAGAACAGTGCACACAAGAAATCAAACAATGGATGTCGTCAAACTTCCTTCTCTTGAATACTGAAAAAACTGAAATGTTAATCCTAGGTCCAAAGCACATCAGAAACAAATTCTGCAATCTCACCGTAAACTTAGCTGGTTCTATCATTTCACAAAGCCGCCGTGTTATAAATCCCTGTATTTTATTCGATCCTAATCTCTCCTTTGAAGACCATATTAATAATATAACAAAAACAGCATATTTTCACCTACGTAATGTTGTCAAGATTCGTCCCATTCTCTCCATGACTGATGCAGAAACACTGGTTCACGCTTTTGTCTCATCCCGATTAGATTATTGCAATACACTTTTCTCTGGCTCACCAAATTCAACCATTAGGAAACTACAACTCGTTCAGAATGCTGCTGCCAGGATATTAATCAGAACCAGAAAATTTGACCATATCACCCCTGTTCTCATTTCATTACACTCGCTCCCTGTACACACTAGATCGGACTTCAAGATTCTGCTTTTAACTTATAAAATATTACACGGACTTGCACCATCCTACTTATCATCTCTACTTACTCCACGTTTATCAATCAGGCCTCCACGATCCCATAATGTCGGTCTCCTATCCATCCCCAAAATTAATAAATCATCAGCAGGTGGTAGGGCCTTCTCATACCGAGCCCCTCTCCTCTGGAACCGCCTTCCCATTCAAATCCGTGAACACACCTTTTTGCATCTACTTTTAACATCACTTAGTCTCTGTCCTTACATACTACATCATGGTCATCTACTACTACTCAGTCATTGTGCGCATCAATTTATCTTTAGTTTTTTATATATACAAGTGCCAATGTTATTTTTGTTTTTCTTTGTTTTCATTTTGTTTTGTTTGTTTATTTTGTTCTACATAGTCATTTCACTTGTTTTTATATATTTTATTTGTAATTTGCTTATGTGTTTTTATGTACAGCCCAATGAGGCATTTTTTGACTTGACTTGACTTGACTTGACTTGACATGGCAACTCGCATGAGGCTAGCTGATGGCTAATGGTGGTGCTAGTTCTTGAGGCCATTTCCTTTAAAGATTAAATGACCCAAAACTCAAGTAGTTAACTGAACCAAAAAAGCCTTAATGTCTTAATACTACTACAATATATATGTAAAATGCAATGTAAATGCATTTTACACAAAAGAATCTCAAACTTTTTTCCACCTCTGGTTAAGGCTTTGGTTCCTGACCAGGGGTCCTGACCTCCACTAGGAGTTGTCAAGACTTCACACTTGATTTTTAGTTGTGTATAAACTGACTTATATCAGCAATTCATTCATTTCTGGAAGGAAAAATGAAACCGTTATAAATGAGATAAGATACAGACTTTAAAAAAACAACAACAACCTTACAGCACAAGGGCACAGTGAGGGCCTGAACACGAGCTACAGTCACAGAGCCATCAGTCGCTGCTATACAGCCTCATCCTGCATCACAACCAAAGACCTAATAGACCAATGGCAAGTGTCAGGGGGAAGAAAACACTGAGTTTGTCCCAAAAAAAAAGATTAGAAGTGTGTTTTAAAATAAATGATAAAAAAAATACATAATTTGTGTAAAAAGTTACTACAAATATCAGGAAAATTCATTCAAATCGCTCATTTTACACAAACTTCCTGCTGTTATTGCGCTCACTATTTGTGTAAATAGTTGCAATCAATGGCAAATAAGAGCAATTTAGCAACTGACCAATTACCAACAACACTTCCTCTTCCCTCTGTCAGTGTCTGTGTTGCTGAGATCCTTAAAATGCTACAATGACTACGAGTCCTACGTCCACTGCTATTGGAGGGAACGTGGAAACACGACACCGCAGCTCTGGTTCAAGAAGGGAAAAAACAAGTAAGAACAACATCAGGGGGAACAACAACCCAAACGCCGAAATAACTGTTGCCATTGTGCATTTATGCAAACCAGAAATATGTCACATTTGTATGTTTTATATGAAGTGTGTAACATTTCTTTACACTTCAATTGTCAGTGTTATGTTGTGACAATGCTGTTGTTATCATGTTAGGTTTAGGCACAAAAACCACTTGATTGTCGTTAAGAAAACATCATGTTTTGGCTTTAAATACCTGATTTTGTCGCCACAACCACAGCTGGATATGTCCCAACCCCTATGCTCACCTTTGTTTCCCATCATCCCTTTCTCCTCCTGATGAGAGACGTAGCTGATATACATAGCATCTGAACTTATTCCTTTAGAAATGTTGATATGATACACATAAAATGTACAAATGTGACGTATCTGTGGTATGTTTGGAGGCTGGCTGGTTGTCAAGACTCAGGATATAATGAAGGATTATGAGCAATATATCAGTGTGTTAAGTGTTCTGTCCCACAGCTCTGTGTCGTGTCGTTGCAGGGAGCAGTGTGTGCCTTATGGCACTAAAGAACAAGATGCAAGTGGCCACAGGACTGTGCAGTGCAGGTACAAAACACGTGCATTTTCCATCGGCATCGAACACACCGTCTTCTTCCTCAAGGACAAAACACAGAGAAATTGCTCGTCTGTCCAACACAAGCGTCTGGATCTTTCTCAGCACTGTGAGTTTATCTGTCCATCATAACTGTGACATTTACTGTGATGATAACGATAGAAATATTCAGAAGTGTCATGGCTTGAGCTCTGTGTGTTTTTGTGTTGTGCAGTGAGGGCACGCCCACCAATGAATCTGTCCATACATGATGGAGGTGATGGAGGTCAATGGCTCAGTTGGTCCAGCCCTTACTCCACGTCCTCCACCCTGAACAGAAACATCACATATCAGCTCAGCTACAGGACAGATGGACAGGACAGCTGGACGGTCAGCATCACACATAATGTATACATACCATAGATGGTGTAAAGAAAGTGGACATAGTCACTAGGAAGTCACCCATTGGTTTCTGGACTATCGTTTCCTTACGCCAAAGGTGACCTGGCTACAGCGTATAAGGTCACTAAGCATAGCAAATGCTAAGTTACTAGCTAACTCAAGCTAACTAGCTTGGTTAGCAAGGTGCATTTGTAATTAATTTAGATGCTAATTTTAGCTTGCGGAAAAAAAGACTTAAGATAAAATGTACTTACTGGGAAAAAAAGAACAGCCAACTACGTATGCTTGATTTATAATGGACACATCCGCAAGGTTCGCAAGGTTTTCACCCGTCCGCGTTTTGTAACTACACGAACCTGGATGTTTCGGGGAAGTAAGTTTGCGAAAATATCAGTTTGCCATGAAGAGAAACACAGAGTATAAAAGTTCCAGGTTAAACGTTTTGTCGTAACGATTCCACGTCATCTTTCATCTGTATAAGACCGTCCATTCAGAAAGCATAACTGAGGCTTTGGAGTGTCTTACAACTGGACAAGATTGTTTAGGCACCAAAAAAACTTAAATGAACTGAAAACAGACTGTTTCTGTAAATAGACGCACTTGTATAGCTCTATAACTATTCAGTAAGCATTCACACGCTCTCACACACTGATGGAACAGACATCGGGAGCAATTTTGGGACCAGCTTCTTGCCCAAGGATACTTCAACATGCAGACTGGAGGAGCCGGGGATCGAAACGTCGATCGGCGGTTTGAAGACAAAAACACAGACAACACCCAAAACCAAATTAACAACTATTTAAATGTACACTGTCCCACGTTGCTGCACCTCTGTCCTTAGTGACAGGTTGTCGTGGCAGTGACTTGTCAGTCACAAGGTAGTCACGCCGTAAAGCATACCCTGCTTTATCGTCTATTTTACTCTAAATGGGACCATAATTTACCAAATGGACACCGTGCTGTATTGAAGAAGACTTTAAAGTAGCGACTGAGGCCATAAACACATTAGGAAAATGTTTACTGAGGGAATAAATCAAATAAGAAGACAGATCATTTTCTCATTGACTTTGTAGGTTTCCAATCAGTGAAGCCATAACTTGACACTCCAATCGTCCCGTTCGTCTTAATCCACAAAAGCAAAAGTCCACAGGACTTTAACTGATTACTTCAAAACCCAGAGATGGTACAGAAACAATCTTTAATTTCCAAATCCAAAAATATCCAGAAAGAAGAGGAAAAGAAAAAGGTACCAGATATAAAAGATAGTAGGTCAAAAAAACTGTCTGGCTCCACTGTGATTAACTCTCTCAAATCCAAAAACTCCCCCTACTGATGAGAGTTTAAAAAAGTGGCATTAAAGGTACAATACAATTATAATAATAATACCTGTATCTTAAAATTGCATTTAGGCTCCCACAGACTTGTATACAATCAGACTTATTTCTGCAACAAGTGTTGTCACCCTCTGCTGGCCATTAGAAAAATGCATGTTTAAGGCACTTGAGCATTGGCGTCACTTTTCAGACGCCAAGGCTATGTCCACTTCTTTTATACTAATACACACTCTACCAGCTTTTGACCATGTGACAAACAATTGTTGTTGAAATCATGAAGTGGGTTTTGAAAGTTTTTTAGAATCTGAGAAACTTTTGTAAGTCTACGAATTTCTAAAACATTCTGCTATATATTTAGTTATGATAACAAAATGATGACAGTGATATGGCTAGAATGCTGATGTTTAGCAGGTCTAAAATCTACCATGTCACCCATTTCAGTTTATAGCATGTTAGCATGCTAAATGTCACCATAAAAACAAATAAGACACTCCAGACCTATAGCTAGCTGCTAATGCTAATAGGTGTATTTGATTCTTTAAATCCCGGCACACTGACACAAACACAAAAAGGTTACTGTTCCAAATATTTCTGTGATCTTGAATTCAACATTCTGTAAGCCAGAGCTCTCACACATTTCTTTCCGTCCTCTGTACAGTCTGAGGAGGTCACAAACACCAGCGTGAAACTAGAGAAGCGATTGTTGCTTCAGGGTCGCAGGTATAAAGCCAGGGTGAGGGCCCGGGTCAGCGTGGGTCAGTGGAGCGACTGGAGTCCTGTGGTGACTTGGCACACTGAAGAAGGTGAGTCAAAGACAGCATTCAGTGTCATTTTAAACCTTATATGCGATTATATAACAGCCACTATGGATCATTTTCTGTACAAACTTGTTTCAACTCTGAAATTTCTGAGTGAAACCATTTGGCTCAGATATTTAATGTACTGGATCATTTGAGTCCAGAAGGGTCTTCTGATACAGACACTGCTCCTTATCTTCTGTCCTCACATTTCTAATCTTTTCCCTCTGTCCATTTTCATGGGAAAAGTCTGGAGCTTTGCAGCTGTTGTTATTAACTCTCTTTCTCTCTGTGGCTCTAGACACTGGGCACTTTCCCAGTTTGCACTGTGTGCTGGGCGGAGAGAAGGAGGTGGTGTGTAGCTGGGAGGTGAGCAGAGAGATGGCTCACTTCATTACCTACCAGCTGGCATGTGGACACAGCCAGGATGCAATGTAAGTCGACAATACCACCTGGCTGAGGCTGAAAAACTGCATCCAGTTATCATTCATTCATTCCTCTCCTCTCCTTTTAATCCCTGCCTTCAGGTCTGAGAGATGCTGTGTGAACCAAACCGTCAGCCCTGACCTCAGCAGGGCAGTGGTGAGGTACAGCTGCTCGCTGACTGTCGCAGACCCTGCACATCTACTCGTCGAGCTCCAACCAGCACGCAATGCCAAGAGTTTTAAGGCCGACCAACACAGTGAGTGGAGACGAGACAGAGGGCACAACATTGTAGAAGAGATTTTGTGTGTGTGTGTGTGTGTGTGTGTGTGTGTGTGTGTGTGTGTGTGTGTGTAAGAGGTGGGGGTGGGTCTCTTTGAGCAGAGTAGGGAGCAGAGATAACGCGTCGTGCCAAATTAAAAACACACAATGGTGTGATAAAACTGCAGAGAGCTGTGCAGAGCAACTGTGATGTGATTAAGTGTCCCCACCTAGTGTTTGAATGACACTACTGCATCCCTGTTAGCCAGTAAGATCATGGTTTGGTCATTAAACCACTTACACATAACACACTTGTCCAAATATTCACCAAAAGACAAACAAGACTCTTTTCATGTCGTCAGTAATAACTAAAAAAAGTGTACGTCTGCTTTTAAAAACTCTACCATCTAGTAAGCTGTTAATCACAGCCAACCACACAATGAAAGAATATAAATTAAAAAGAGCCATATTTATGAATTTTAATGTTTATTTTAATTTGAGTTATATTTATGCTAGTTTATAGTACACTTACACTCAATAATCTGGCACCTCACCATTTAGGCATTCATACACATGACTTGCTGCTACAAACTTAACCCTGTTAGCAATGTTTAACTATTTTAATTATTTAAAATGTCCTGTACATAAGTATGTTGTTTCATTGGAATAAAAATTGTAACCAGTCATCTAATTTATAAAATATTTAAGCAGGCATGTTGTTGCAAAGATAGAAGAAATTATATGAATAAATATTTCTTTTATTTCAGTTACGTGCATATGGAGAAACAAAGATTATTTCACATAAATTTTCTCACAGTCAATAACCGAAAAAAGGAACAGGCTGAAGCCCCAGGGTTAATCCTATCCTATCCTATCCTATCTTAACCAAAGGATAACCCAGAACATCAGCAATGCCAAAGAAAGGAAATAAATAAATAATTAAATACATTATACTCTAAATTATAATCCTCAATTCTTTATTATAATCATTTTACATTTTAAGGGTTTTTAAAAACTACACAATTTCAAATCAGCACTGAGTCAATTCCATAACTTGACTCCTAACACTGAAACACATCTGTATTTTACGTTGGTTCTCACTGTACATTTTTAAATTATAATTTCCTTCCCATAATTTAAAGGATCTTTGAATACAGACAGGAAGGCTTCTGTTCCCAACTAGAAGAAATATTTCCAATGATTGATGAGTAGATTCACAATGACCTGCTTTATGTATTTCTCTAAGAGCTCTTTTGTGAAGTCTAATTATAGGGTCTATATTTGTTTTATATGCATTTCCCCAAATTTTAGCACAGTAGGACATGTATGGCATTACAAGTGGACAGTACATTATATACAAACATCTCTTATTCAACAACTCCCTAATTCTAAAAAGAACACCAGTACATTTAGACATTTGTTCTATATGTGGCTTCCAACAAAGTTGATGTGTTATCATGCCCAAAAATGTTGTTTCATATAATCTTTTAATTAATTCTAATTTTAAATTCAGTTTTAATTCAATTTTATATTTGGTTTTATCTTCATTTAGTGATAACTTATTATCAGCAAATCATTTTTTCAACATGATCAGTTCCCTTTCTACTGTTTTTAATGAGTCTTTCATGTCATCACCTGAACAAAAAAATCAGCATTTGCATCATCAGCAAATGTTTCAAATATCAATGTCTTAGATACCATAAAAATATCCTTTAAAAAAAAAAGTATAAATAATTTAGGTCCCAATACCGAACCTTGTGGAACGCCACAGGGACTCTCCTATTCAGGATGAGAAATACTAAATGGATCCTTGAGGGGAAAATTATGATCCCCCTTCATTGTTTGATTGATTGTTTTGTGACTGTTAGACATGCATAGTCACTTCTTGATTGTATCAAAGCCGTGAAGGACATTTCTTGATACATTTTTAATCCAATCCAATCCAATAAAAAACGTTTCTTTCATTAAGTTACAAATTGTTTTGTTGTGCAGTTCGTCCCAACCCACCAAGGCAGGTGAAAGTGAGGCAGAAAGGCAGCAACTGGATCGTGGAATGGACTGAGCCCAGCACAGCTTCAAAACTCAGACTGAACTATCAGGTGTGCTATTACAGGACACAAGATCAGGTGAGACACTTTTATATTAGTGTTTTTCTTTCTGTCCAACTGTACACCTGTATTACAGTCCCTTAATACTACCCACAATAACCCTTTCATTGATTCTATTCGCATTCCTTTTTAAGGGATCTTCCATCTTGCAAAACATTTCTGAGGGGTCCATGTCCCTGAGCATTCTGGGAGCTTCTCTGGCTCCATCTGAGAGCTACAAGGTCAAGGTCAGGTCACTGGTTTTTCCTGCTCACTACAAGGGAATCCCCTCTGAATGGACCGACCCTGTGGAGTGGACCTCGCTTAAAGGTACTTTACAATCGCAGCATGCACGAATACATGCAGTGCTAATACATTCCACATGTGTGTGATCTCAAACAAACATTCAGAAACAGAGTTTGGGGAATTACTTTTTGTTATTTATTGCATTTTATTCTTCTCTGGATAAAGTATCCAGTTTATTCAGAAATAATAACATGAGCCAAAAGTCAAGAGTGGTGATGTGGTAAGAAGATAGTTTTGTTGTAGTGGAGGATCAAGACGGGGCTGATGGCAGGGAATGGAGTCTGGTGGCAGCAGAGATGATTGAGACCAGGGCTAGTGTGAGTGTGGAAAGGGGCAAAGTGTGGAGTAGTTTGGCGACTAGGAGGTTGCAGGCAGGTAGGACAGGAGACAAGCATTAGGACAGGCAGGTGGGTGAGGATCCTGGGACACAGGAGAGACAACTGAGTCACACAAAACACAGGGACAATAATTCACTAGTGACTTAAGTTTGCATGTTTTCACAATTGGTCCTTTTCAGCCCTCATAGCAGACTCAGAGCAGTGACTCAGCATTTTTTGCACATATGTGAACACTCTAAGAGAACTCAGACCCCTCTGAAGCAAACCGAACTCAGACTCAGTTCGGTTCGCTTCAAGTCCGTTGCATGGTTCACTTAACCTGTGCATTGTGAACACAAAGCGCTCCAAGTTTGCTTTGCTCTTTGCCATTGTATTTAGCCCTCTAGATCACATGCTGTTGCACTGGGACACTTGAGAAAATATATAAAACCATGTTGGCCTGTAACGCTTGGACGCAGGATGAGGAGTAGTTTTGTCCAAAGAAAGTTCTGCATGTCTTCAGATGTGGAATGCAGAATACAGCAACAGTCCACAGCACAGAAACACTAAGGTTTTCCTCCAGAGAACTGAGTCCTCTTTCAAATGAGTCCTATTTCTGTTGGTCCACTTTTTGGTGCACTTTAAGAGGACTGAGTTCAGTTTGATTTAAAAGGACTATATGTAAAAACACCCATTAGCTGGCCTGAAGGGTAGCTGCCACTGTGTTTGAAATGACTGTCTTGCAAAGAATGGTTGAAGAGCCGGGGTAGATATACTGCATGCTGATGGGCTGATGAGCTGATAAGCAGTAGGTGAGCAGAGTGGAGGTGGTGATAAGCCGATTGCAGACAGGTGAGCCTGATGAGCAGAGCCACAAGCCGAGAATAAGGAAGAGAGACCACACCACACCGGGACACACACAGAAAACACATGAGAGAGAAAGACAGGGGAGCACTGAGAACACAGGGAGGGTACCGCTACTGTCATTGTACCACATATCATCAATGATCACCATCATTCTCAGTGACATCATAACTTGGTTTTCTGTTCCCTGACAGCCGCCTGGTCCCTAACAACCCTGATATATTTCACCATCAGCGTATTAGTGGCTGCAGTCTTCCTCACACTCTATTGCACCATTCCAGCCTGTCAAAGGTACTTTTTCATGTCATATTTGTGCATCTTCCTTTTCCTCCAAACTAGAGATTGCCTGAAAAGTTAAAGTCTTGTTAAATCAAGTAAAATGTCTGGACCCACTGGGTGTCAGTCTGACAGCGATAAGCCTCTGGGGGCGAGGGCCAATGGGCCTCAGTGCACAGACATGAAAAATGGTGCGTTGGTTTTGTACTCGGAAGTCGGAAGTGGGAATGACGTCACCTCCGAGTTGACAACAGTTTTTTGCATTCTAGTTGACGATGGTGGACAAGTTGGGAAAAAACATGGACGCCCGCAAGAAAGCCTTTGTTGCCTTTGCACTTTCAGAGACAGCTTCAAAACCATCATGAACTCCAACTGATGAACGCTGCAGATGACGCTGACCTAATGTAAAACAAATAAGATAAAACTGCTATAAACAGTACAGAGCGTTTACTCACTATGTATGTGACCGGCAGCCATCTTGAATTCGTAAGTCAGGGTTGATGCGGTTGCTCTGAGTTTCCGAGTTGGAAATCCAATCTCAGGGTGCGTTCAAGTTTAAACTTCCGACTGGGAACTGGGAACTGGGAATTTCCAACCTCTGAGTACAAAACGAACGCACCAATAGGCCCCACCATTTTTCCTACGTATAGGACCAAGATACACAGACTTTTATCTTTTGGGAATTTTTGGGTTAAGATATATATATGATTCTAAAAAAGCTGACGCATTTGAATACTGATTTGGGTGTCAAAAATACCATGGCAACAGTAGATGCTCCAAAGCTTCGAAGCATTTGGGACAGTCTTACTAAAAACATTTTAAAAAAAAATTTAAGCATCAATGTTTTCACTTTGCCCCTACATATATTTACCTTATGGAAATGTTTTGCTTTTTTAAAACATGAAAGAAGCACACTTCACCATTTGACATTTTATTTACATGAAAATAAATAAATGACAGGTGTGTTTTCAGTCATGGATGATAAAACTTTTTGCATGCTATCTTTTGTACAAACAGGAAGGTGGTTATGTGGGTGGACTCAGTTCCTTCTCCAGGCAAAAGCAAAATCCTGTCTGAGCTCAAGGTGAGACTGATTTTATAGTTTGGCTGAATTATTCCCATTTCTGCTGTGCCAAGAAATAATTCTGCATATTTATGGATTTGTCCAATTGTATTTTCTAATGTGTAAACCATGATGTATTTTCCAGTCTGCCACCAGCCGGACCCTGGTGCAGAGTGAGAGCACGTCCATCTGCAAAGTGCAGCATTTGGACAGCATATCCACATGGTAATAAGTTTCACACTCAACATTACCTAATAAATGATATTAACATATTTCTTTATCATGAAGGAAAAAAGGAGGATGTTTGGATGCAGCTGCAATAATTTAGGAAAAGCATGAAAGGATGAATAACTGATGATTCCCTGCTCTCTCTCTCTCTCTCGTGCTGCAGCTCCTCAGACGTTTCGCTGTGGTCAACTAAGGACACTGAAAGACAGCTTCTGGAGCAGGACGAGGGCTGCTGGCAGTGTGACCCGCCCTCTCCTGCTGAAAAGGTTAACGTCTCTGACACGTCCTCCATGAGCTTCAGTGGGCCGTACATCTTCTGTCAGGTCAGTTACTCACAGTCAGTGGAGTTTGTCAGGTATCCAGGTGAATTTTTCAAACAGTATGCTTTTGTGTTTTATGTCAGCTGATATATGTATTTATAAAACTGCCACAGATATTTGAGTGCCTTTCATGCAAAGATCTGTAGATGAACACATGTCTTAAAGGAATAGTTAGACATTTTGGTTAATAAAAAATAATAATTCGCAAACTTGCCCGCTTTAGATGGAAAGAAAACTGTAAAAACGACATGTTGAGGTTTTACGTTAGGTTATGTAACAGACGATTTCTTGGCCAGTTTCGGGACAAGAAATGATGCATCACATCACCCTGGACAGAGCCAAGCTAGCTGTTTCCCTTCTAGCCTTTATGCTAAGCTAAGCTAACCGACTGCTAGCTGTAGCTTCATAAGAAAAAAAGATGATGAACTATTTTGTTAACGTGTTAATAGCAATAAAAGGTAATGCAAATTCCTTTTAATGCCACCAATTATTTTTACACATGTACCTTCTATAATTATGACCCTCCGCCCACCCGTTTGGGAAATCAGGAAGCGATGCAGCAGTAACATTACAAGCAGAAACAAACCTCCGTGAGCAGAAATGGATAAAGAAAGGCATCTTTTGAACAGCAAGTTCAGCTTTAAAGCTCTGCCATGATTCTTTAGGCAAGACCGACGTTATTTGCATTTACTATCGATAGCGGAGTTACCACCAGAGTACGTTCGGCTGCTTTAAAAAATGGGAGTGTTTAGTCAACCTTTACGAGTGTAAAGTTAGACACTACATTGTGTTATAGCATATTTGTCCACTCCCATGTTGATAAGCACATTGAAAACTTGAAAAATATCCCTTAAAGGTACATTTAGAACAGATAAATAATGTGCAATTAATTTGCAAATAATCATGAGTTAACTAAGGACAATCATGCCATTAATCGGGATTTAATATTTGAATCATTTGATGGCCCTTTAAATGCTATATCATGCCTCAAGTACTAGAGAAATATAGTGAGAACAAAAGCAATTCAGGCTGCAGACTTGCAATAGGATCACTCCAGCTTTGATACAGCGATCCACAGCTTAAAACAAATGTGGTCTAGGGGCGTAAAGTGGAGGGACCAGCCGTAAAGTTCCACACTGAACTGCATTGTTTCTATCTGACAGTCATCAAGCCGCAAGTCAGTGGATGTCCAGTGTGCAGAGAAAGAGGAAGAACAAGAAACACCATCAGATGACTCCCCGACTTCCTCGGGGACTTTCACTCTTTATGGTGAAGGTTATGTTTGTCTGCCACACCGCAGTGTCTCCAGGTCCACGCAGGATCTTGTGTTTCATAGCGACGCCAACACCAACAAACACAGGCACGACAGCGCTGAGCAGGACCGGCAGTGTCCAGATAAGTTGGACGTCCAGCCAGCCCTCAGCGAGCCCACCAGCAGTCACCACCTTCCAGCATATACCTCAGGACCTTGCTCTCCCTGGCCTCAGGAGGGCAACGTGCAGGCCTCGGGGTACTGCCACCTCCCCATGGCTTTCATGAGAGCAGCAAAGTGATGTGCAGCATGCAAGCTCAGAGCATCTCAAGGACAAACTGTGAAGCTTTCTCAGCAGAGATTAAGAACAGTTAATCAATCAGTATTTTCTTGTTTTATTATAAGCTTTTCACTTTATTCTATGCTAAGTGTGCTTCCATGTGAAATGTGTTATTAATGGGTTTTTACACATTAAAAAGAAACCACATTGCTTGGTTTCATGTCTTATCAGACCTAACATCAGGTTGGACGTCTAACCAATGGAGGGCAGCAGTGAGCTGAGCCTGGGAGTGCAACGCAAGTAAATCTAAGGGATGGACTAAATAACTCTTTGTCTTTGAGCTTTTTTTGGAAACTTCCTCGCACATTCCAGCTCAGGATGATATAACAGGAGCATCCTGCGATCTAATGCAATGCAATACAACAGCTTTGTTTAAAGGACTACTTTTGTTCAGTCCAGAATATTTCATTTAATGTTCAAAGAGATTCTTCATTTCTCCAGAAAAGGAATCATTTACTGCACCTTGTACATTTCTCTAAGCATGTACAGAATGTGCGTGTCTGAACACAAACTCTTAAAGCCTCTGGAAACCCAAATCCACAATAGCCTTCTAACTATGTAATTTAAATTGCATAAATTTAAATTGTAAAACAATTAGAAATCTGTTTCCATCCAAATTCGAAATATCTGTCTTTTAAGTTTTTGTACATTCTTGAAATTGGGTTTAATTTGGCAATGGTTATCTCTGAAATTTATTAAGCAATAAATTCCAAACCAATCATAAATCATCAGTCAGTTGTCTCATCCCGCCCCCCAGTGGCAGCGCAACAAAACCTTTCTGCTCCAGCTAAATCTGCCTCTTAGTCTGATGTTTAGAAAATACAGATCGTAAACTGGCTGAACCGCTCGGCTGCGACCCAGCGGAGGCTCTGCCTCCGGCGGGCTCCCAGCAGCACTCGAATCAGGTTGACCGGCTCCAGAGCCCGGACAATCCGAGCCTTTGCAGCTCATGGAGCTGCAGGAAGAGGCGGCTTGTGAGCGGCCGGGCTTGCCCCTTGGGCCCGGTGCCCGCGTCGGCTCGCGGGGAGGGGACGTAATGTGCACCCTTCCTCACCCCTAACCCCAACCCCAAGCAGTTAGCTTTGCTACGCATAAACATATCCCCAATCGCGGAGGTGATGCTGCAGGAAACAACACAATTTTAGCCGGAGGGGAACATTATTCGAGGCGGGCAAATACTTCTACACAACGCCAGAGAGACGGCCAGCCGGCACCGGTCTCTCCCGCTTTGACGGTCGGTGTGTGTGTCAGAGTAAAGACATATTTAATCTGTTAAGACTGGATGTGTTTGAATGAAAAAGGCTATTATCAGAAAAACGGAGCAGATTTATGTTTTCAATGAAAACGTATCTCAATGAAGAAAGGCAAAGCGCTAGCCTCCCGTTGTCATTCATCTCAGCTAACGGCCCGGGCTCAACCGGGCACGTCTGCAGCGCGAGTCCGTAGCAGCTCGCCCCCCTGTTAATCAATTACAGCGGCTCCACCGGCAACGAGAGTGGCGCGACAACTCTCTATTTAACGCGGCTCTTCTATTGTTTATCCGTGACACTGTGTCCGTGGCGGACATTTGAAAGCGAGTAGATGACAAACAGTACAGTAAACTTGTAGATAACTCAAATATATGTAATAACTTAGGTGGAAAATGCTTTACATTTCATGCAGCCTACATGCAGCCTCTCGGCTCAGCAAACGGTAAACAACCCCGCTGGCTTCTCTACGTGTCGCTTCCGTACGCAGTCAGTGGAGCCCAAATGAATACGCCGCAAAGTAACATTAATATGAATCACGAAACATTTTGAAACTTACCAATCAGTGACCACCTGAAAGGAATCATTTTCAGCTTCTGCTTCGTCCTCTGAATCATCAGAGGGCTCAAACATGTACAGCTGGATTAAATTTGTGGCAGCCATTGCTGAGCCAGGGAGATGTCAATCAAATGAGGGAGCTGTCAATCAGAGCGTTGTCTGCCACGCCCACTCTGTCCTGGCAAGTGGTCTAAACAGCAAAATGAGCTGTTTTTAAACCAGGTTTTCTAATAGTTATTAATGGTTATTTTCACTCAGACTTTTGTGGATGATTAATGAGACACTCAACTTTGATATAATATATGCATTTTTACCATTTCAAGCTGTGTTTCCTAAGGCTTTAACTCTTTTACTTAAATTTCCTGCGACTCACAGCTGGTGTAAGAAGCAGAATTATGTAAACTGCATTTCATGGGAAAAGCATGTAAGTTTATTGATACCATGTTCGCTGTGGTTGTGTATGCGTGTTTGCACAAAGGTGTGTGAGTTAGGACCTTGTTGTCAAGGCTGTAGCCTATGTGTTGCTGAATGTACCTGTACCTTACATATATAAAGGATGTTGATGAGCTGATGCTATCTTCTGTGTGGCACTGTTAAATGACAACAGAGACATTTGAAATGCCACTGATAATATGTTAAAGCTACCTTTAATACATGAGACGTGCCATCTTCTGCAGGTATGTTACTTTTATTATCGATCTGTGTTGATGTCAGTTGTTGATCATAAATGAGATGCAAAGTTTGCTGCACTTTTGTATAGTGATATGGTTTTAAACTTGTAAAATTGTGTATATGTTTTATGGCACAAACATACAGTTTTCAGACTGGCTGTCAAACTGCGTGGCATATGTTGACAGTTTATTAGGTACACCTGGCTAAAGCTAATGCAGCTTACACAACTGTCCTACAATAAATCCTACGGTCATGAAGGTTATAGTGTAGTGGAGTAGTTTTGCGTTGCTATGTGTGGTATTTATTCAGTTTTGGGAAATTACAATGTCTAGAAAGCATCAGTGGCTGCAGCTGACAGGGACAGCTAACAGCAGCAGCAAAGCTAACATCAGGACATCATCTGTTAAAAGCCTCCCGTTGTCAGATACGACATGAAACTACTCCAGTTAGCTCAATCATGTTGTAACTAAGACATCCGCTGGGAAAAAATATTTTTTTCACACACCATTTATTGAGTTACTGAGTTAATACAGACACCACTAACGGCTAACAGCTAACAGTTAGCCCAGCTAATCTACGATAACCATGTTATTAATTACAAAACATGCACACAGAAATAGTAATGTTTGTTAAATCTTTGTGTTTATAGACTTTACAAACATATATACAGTACAGGCCAAAAGTTTGGACACACCTTCTCATTCAATGCGTTTTCTTTATTTTCATGACTATTGACATTGTAGATTCTCACTGAAGGCATCAAAACTATGAATGAACACATGTGGAGTTATGTACTTAACAAAAAAAGGTGAAATAACTGAAAACATGTTTTATATTCTAGTTTCTTCAAAATAGCCACCCTTTGCTCTGATTACTGCTTTGCACACTCTTGGCATTCTCTCGATGAGCTTCAAGAGGTAGTCACCTGAAATGGTTTCCACTTCACAGGTGTGCCTTATCAGGGTTAATTAGTGGAATTTCTTGCTTTATCAATGGGGTTGGGACCATCAGTTGTGTTGTGCAGAAGTCAGGTTAATACACAGCCGACAGCCCTATTAGACAACTGTTAAAATTCATATTATGGCAAGGCCAATCAGGCCTTCATGGTCAAATAGCTGCTAGGAAACCACTGCTAAGGAGAGGCAACAAGCAGAAGAGATTTGTTTGGGCCAAGAAACACAAGGAATGGACATTAGACCAGTGGAAATCTGTGCTTTGGTCTGATGAGTCCAAATTTGAGATCTTTGGTTCCAACCGCCGTGTCTTTGTGAGACGCAGAAAAGGTGAACGGATGGATTCCACATGCCTGGTTCCCACTGTGAAGCATGGAGGAGGAGGTGTGATGGTGTGGGGGTGTTTTGCTGGTGACACTGTTGGGGATTTATTCAAAATTGAAGGCACACTGAACCAGCATGGCTACCACAGCATCCTGCAGCGACATGCCATCCCATCCGGTCTGCGTTTAGTTGGACGATCATTTATTTTTCAACAGGACAATGACCCCAAACACACCTCCAGGCTGTGTAAGGGCTATTTGACCAAGAAGGAGAGTGATGGAGTGCTGCGGCAGATGACCTGGCCTCCACAGTCACCGGACCTGAACCCAATCGAGATGGTTTGGGGTGAGCTGGACCGCAGAGTGAAGGCAAAGGGGCCAACAAGTGCTAAACACCTCTGGGAACTCCTTCAAGACTGTTGGAAAACCATTTCAGGTGACTACCTCTTGAAGCTCATGGAGAGAATGCCAAGAGTGTGCAAAGCAGTAATCAGAGCAAAGGGTGGCTATTTGAAGAAACTAGAATATAAAACATGTTTTCAGTTATTTCACCTTTTTTTGTTAAGTACATAACTCCACATGTGTTCATTCATAGTTTTGATGCCTTCAGTGAGAATCTACAATGTAAATAGTCATGAAAATAAAGAAAACGCATTGAATGAGAAGGTGTGTCCAAACTTTTGGCCTGTACTGTATATATAGCTAAACTCTGCTGGTTTTCTACCCAGAAGTATTTGTAAACAACAAGGCGATTCCCTCTATACCTAACGCACCTGGTACCCGGTGTTTCTATCATTTTGTCCACTTTATTTACATCAATGGAAGTAGCCTTCTGTAACAACTGGTGAACCAGGTGAGAGTGGACTCAAACGTTGTCCAGCTCTCCTCATGTAACAGCCAGTCTCCCGGTATCTCCTCCATGCTCTTGAGACTGTGCTGGGCGACAAAGCAAACTTTCTTGCTACTGCACGTATGGATGAGCCATCTTGGATTGTGATGTGACATTCGTGAACAAGTCGAGTCTTTGAACCGGCTCTTTGAAGTGAACAAGTGAATCGGCTCTTTAGAGTAAACGAGCCAGTTCCTAATTTCTTTGTTTGTCTAGTTTGCATGTTACCCAGCATGCAGTTCGGACAAACTGGAACAAGTCTGAATTTAGACTATAAACTTGTTATTGAGAGCGTTTTGGGGGTGTTTTGGAATAGGGGGAGGTTGTGGATTATTCTGGTACGAACGGGACATGTTCTGGACTGTTTTGTGAATGTTTGTGTGCACGTGACCGTGACACTTTATTCACATCATGTTGATGACCCCCCACGGTAGGAAGCAAACCCACTATCCGCTAGCACTTGCTTGTATTGACAGGCTTGTTGATTATAAAGGGCGTTGCTATGGCTACACCAAACTTTATATCTGCAGAGTCTATTCTGGGTCCAAGTCACAATATCCAGATCACATGATGTGATAAATCAGCAATGCGATTCGTCACTGAACCCACTAAACCCACACA